GACGATATTCTTTGTGGAACCGCTTGTAAGCATGAAAGTCTTGGTTACTTTTTGAACTATGGTATTTTTTTTTAAGGCATAAAAGATGCTGGCGCATTTGTTTAAGGTTTTCATTGAACCATTTAATTGGCGAGCAATGGATGGTAGAGTTAACAATGGGAAAGAAACTGTCGACAGCTCCCCTAAGTTGTTCAATAAACATAGAACAAAACTCAACGCCACTTTGTTCGTTACTGACAAGTTTGGACCACTCAATGTGCTCCAGACTGTTGCCGAACGCAGTTATACGTTTATTATTTATTAACCTTCTTTTAATTTTATCATGATTACGACAAAGCACTGACGAATTAACTTTTATTAATTGTCCCAAATGATCTGACAAAACGGGGTCACAGGCTAGGACACTAAACCGGTCACTAGGAAAATTGGAAATTACATTGCTATATATATCTATTATATCCTTTTTCGATAGTTTTAAATATTACGAGTAGTATTAGCTGTTCCTTATTTTATTTCTTATTCTACCACTGAACGAACAATAATAGTTTGTAGTTGTTACATTCTGTTAATAAAAATAAACTTCGACAAATAGTATAATCGTCCTAAATTTAGTATTTGATCGATTATTTTTTCTTATTTCAAAGGCGATGCTGCAGTCTCTGCCTCTTGCCTTGACTCAGTGGATAAAAGACGTGTACAAAAACTTCAAAACTAATGTCACAATTAAATTTACGTGATATGAAGGATACAGACTTCGGGAAGGCCTAATATGCAGATTTAAGTTATATATGGCACCTTTTTTATTATACCTCAATTAAAAAGAAGTGCCCTCGTTATCTATTTAACAAAGTTTAATTTAGAGTGAGTATTCATGATTTAAATTAATGACACAAAGGTTTACTTACCGCACCGCAGAACAAAAATTAACATTTTTGAGGATCTCTTAGAATATTTCACTTAATTTAATTCACTTACAGAATTAGGTCAGTTTTGACGACAACTGCTGCGTATTCAAGCGAAGACTAAAACTAGAGACTCAGATGAAATAAATTAAAGTAATTTTGGTTAACATCCATTTTTATTAATGTCCCTGCTACCTGCTACCCTCTACCCCCTTTGCATGTCGACCTCTTTATATTGAATTATCTGGGAAATTCCCATATGGCTGACTTTCATATGACACAAGATACAAGATTTTGTTAACTATGCTTTACGATAAAGCAACTGTATCAAGTCAAAAAAAAGTGCAATATAAATTAGATGCGTAGATGGGTACATACATAGATAAAGTATAAAAAACGAAAAATGAAATAAGAATACAAATAACATTAAAAAAAAAATGAATAAAATTTAATCCATAACGAGCTCTGTGTTAAATTTGGCAACGAGCAAGTAGTTTTCTTTTTAAATAAAATGACAATTAATGATCCAGTATCAGTCTTATTAATATTATAATAATAATAATATATATAAAATTATATTATATATATTATTATAGTATTAGTCTTATGCAATAAACGTATTATTATTATTACTATTATTATTCTATAAGAAAGTATTATTCTTTAAGTATATTATAAGTATATTCTATAATTATATTAATAATTATCATTAAATTTTGAAAAAATCTGTAATATAATGGTAGATATCGCGTATTTCTACTGGATTTTGAATTATGCATTTTTTGATGTTTTAGTGGTATGTATATTATATGTAATTATATGCTTCAACGAACATATATATTACATGAATAATTTAAATACAACCACAGCATAATTCTATTATATCAATTGCTTTTATTTATTTTTACAAAACTTCTGTATTCCTGACGTTTCGCCAATCATCCTGTCGGCTTCTCCACAGCTTGACTGAAACTGGCACGCATTTTACTCTGTACCTCCTTATACATTGTTTGAGGAGGCGGAGCTAAATGAGGGGAATTAACACGGTCTGGATGACTGATTCCCATATTGGTGACAGGTAAAGACCTGAGAATAGAATTGATTACATGCAAGAATTTTAGTTTTATGGAATAAAATTTTATGTCTGGTTTCGCGATTGTGTTCAGCAACTGCTGATAAGTTTATTTGTCTTAATCTTAAGACTCTTTCATGTTCTTTGAGCCTAGTTGATATTTTCCGCCCGGTCTCTCCAATGTATTCTTTGCCCCGTATGCATGGAATGCTGTAAACTCCTGGCATCTCAAATGGAATTTTGTCTTTGACGGATCGATGATGATGACAGATTTCTGGACAAGTGGTAAATCTGGTTTTGACGTTATATTTCGTTAGAACTTTTAATATGTGGTCAGTGACGTTTTGAATGCAAGGAAGGACCACAGTGGTAAGTGTAGGATTGCTTTCGGCCTTATTGCTATTGAAAAGTTGTGGTGAAGTGTATTTTGTGATGGAACGCTTAATATCTCTAATGTGAAAATTATTAGAGAGAAGACCAGAGATAAGGTGTCTAGAGCTTTCTTCTCAAAAGCTTCCATAAATATATTCGCGATGACTGGTGATAGTGGAGAACCCATAACTGTTCAAAATTTGACAAAACGTTAGCAAGTTCGACTTAGCAAAAGCCGACGCAGGACGAATCCAGAAGTTTTGTCAAAAACAATATGATCGTAATAATAAAATCTATATTGTCCATAAAACTGCATTTATTTTATTAAATAGTATTTGTACTCAAATGAAACGATACATATATCTTTTTCAAATATTTGGGTAAACAATTCGACTCTTAAAATTAGATCATACTATGTATAGTTAAGTTGAGTACATGTGACATTAGAGAAGCGAATTTGTATTAAATTAAATATAGGAAATATTCAAGAATTTAGAAGACGTCGTCGTACTTTAGTCACACGAATTTTTTTTTATAAAAGATCACGATTAGATTGAATAATGGGATATAGAGGGTGAGCGTTTGTCGAATTAATATTGAGCCACCACCGCTTCGAATTTAACACGGTTTGCGATCATTTGATAACGGGAATGGCAGTTTATTATGCATTATTGTGTTTTTGAGATCATAGATAACGGATAAAAGCCCATTTAAAATAAATGCAGTTCGGTTTTGAACCACGGAAAATATCAACGAATTATACGACGGCTAATTTGTAATTTACATTTTATCCCTGACGGGGTGCAGCGTATATCGCCGATAAGCATAAATTTGCCGTTATCGCTCATATTTTATACGTATACTGTCAATTTTTTTAATGACGATTCGAATTTACTTGCCGCATATACGACATTGGGGAATGGAAAAACACATTGTATACGTTGATAAGTACAGTATTACTGAGGAGTAACTCAATACCGAAAAATTCCGCGTGAGTATCTAGAGAGTATTGCGTAAATCTAAGATTTTGCATAGAATTCTCCTTTTGCTGTGAATTAAAACCGCAGTCTGACGGCATCGAAAACTACTCGTATTCGGATAGACAAAGAATATCTATATTTTTACCTATTTCGGGCCAAGCTAGTTTGTACTAGGCTATGTCAGTTCATTTAAAAACTAGAAAAGCTGAGTGCTAACCCAAACTAATCAAAACGTAATTACTCCTTAGCGAAAATTAAATATGATTACAAATTTGGTTAGCTATGGTCAATTTTTGCTCCTTATAAATTGAGTTAAATATTTACGCAAAATGAGTGCTTGTACAGTACAAATAATAAATGATGCGAAAGATAAATTTAATTTAGAACATTGTATGATGACAAATATACTATTCATAAATTGGCAATTGGCAAAGTGAACGTTTATTTGCATAATTGCGTAATAACGTTAATAGTCTGGATTGAAGACAAAAAATCGCAGTTCTTATAGCACGAAAAACAGCACAACGACTTTCGCAATGTGTGTAACGGACGGGATTACTTTGGGGATGGCGTCTGGTTGCCATGGCGACCAGTGTGGCGCCCGAGCTACCTACATTTATTCCTCCTTATATTAAACTGTTCGAGATAAATCAACTTGCATATCTTACGCGAAAAACTGCGGGATTTACATATGCACAAAACATGACGTGGATGGCTTGGTTAGCATTTTTATCTCGAAGCGAGATTGTAACTATAACAACGTGTGTGAAGATTTTATCCATTATATTGTTTCTCTTGCCGCGAGGTTTAAAATTTCGATTTTCTCCGGCTTCGTTTTTCAAATTGGATATTAGTTTTTCTAATAAAAACTGTATTATAATGTGCCCCCTGTTTAGGTATCTGTATGTGTTTGTTTTTCGCATTGGATAGAAACAAGATTTCCATGAATACCAAATTGAGCGCTTTTCTTGTCGGATTGTGTTGGAATGGAATAAGCCCTTGTAACTCAAACTTGCGATTAATAACGGTAACAAAAAAATATTTAATATCAATTTAAAAACAAGGTGTTGCTGCAACATTCGAATATTTACTTATCAGTTGGAAGCAAACAACTAATTAACGTTTTAAATAAAATAATGTATCTCTGTTGAAAATATATATTTCGATTTATATTGCCAAATGTTGGCTCCAAAACAGATGCTCAACGTCAGCTATACCAGGTAGTGCTTTGTGACGTATGGATTTTTGAAAGTAATATTCTGTTAATTAAATTAACTTTTGGTTGTCTATATACCGTAAAACAAATCAATTTGTGACTAGGACTCTTTCCCAAGAAAACTTTGTTATTTCTTTTTCTTCTATTCATTTCATAGGTAGCGTGTGAAACAAAAAATAAATTTTTCAAAATGTTTGATTACCTAAATGAAATAAAACTACACGTGCAGAACTCACTGGAGCATAATTTATTTTTAAATATTACAAATACAGATACTTTCAATTATAGTACATAATAGTTGCACATCTGCTGCCGAACTATAATATAAACATTGCACAAATCTTTTTTTTTTATACACAATAAACAAAATACGACGCGTAATAAATAAAACGGAATAGTACTTTTCATCATTTATCTAACGTATATACAACTACTACCGGTAGTTTTCTCACCCTGTGCAAAATATATAATTCAATCATTTGATGATGCTCTCTCACGCAACATAATGAAGCATTAGTTGAAGCCTCCAAATGAAATTACAGAAATGCGTATCGTCATTATAAGTGGCGTTTTAATTTATCGCGGCTAGAAGCATGCCTTTGATGAGTGGCGTGAGATATTTATTCATATAAGAAATCAGCATGTTGAGAAATAGTCAAGAAAAAAATATATGCAGGTTTGGAGCAGGATAATGAAATAAATCTGTGACGAAAGCCGAAATTCAAGCTTGCTTAAGGAGTATAAATAATATAGGCCATACGCATCTTTGTAATTTATCTCTTATAGTTAAATCTAAATGCCGTTTATATACGTATACATACATATAATATTTATAAGTTAATATTAACATTTTTACAAGCGTTCGGCTACATCGTACCATGCTAGTATACGTCCGTGGCCGCACATCACTTTCGAAGAAATAGATGAGATCACTAATAATCGTTTTATTTTTTTTTATATTCATATAACTGTATGTACAAATTCTGCTGGAGTCCAAACCGCTCACTACACGAAATTTCATTGCAAATTTTGCCGTTTTGCCGCGTGTTCGTCTTCGTTATCCGAAATAATATCGCTGTTCTCATCGGTTTGATTATCAAGCACCTCCTGTTTTCTTTTGGCCGTCGCCATTTCAGCCGCGTGCTTTTTCCGCCATTTTGTACGTCTGTTTTGAAACCACACCTGAAACAGAACAAATAATACATAATTAAGTTAAACAATTGAACTATACCCCCAAAATCTCACCAAGTTTTATACAGGACACTTTATTATTTCGAATTATTTTCTTAAACGGCGTTACCACACCCTCATAACTTCCGTCGCAGTTCTCCGATAAAACTTTCATTAATTAATTACTTTTCGGGGGTAACGAAACATGGCCGCCCTATAGCCCCCCCCCCCCCCCCAGCAAACCACTGCCCTGGTAATATATTCGGGGCCGTGTTCATTGCTGCGTCTCAGCTTTGCAAAACAACCAAATATAATCTCAGTAACTCATTAATTACGGCTATACATCAAATTAACATTAAATATTCCGCTCATAAATTCCCTCTTCCATTGCTCTTAATACTGTACTTTGTCTTTTTCCATTTTCGGCATGTACAAATTGGGCTACCGATCGTTTTCGTTGCTGGATGCTGTAATGATTTTAAGCAATTTTTATTTTGCGAAGAAGCCTTAATAGCCAAATTTACACTCCATATAGAAATTATAGTAACAGGGGTTTAAAATGTTTTTTTGGCCGAATGATCGCGGTGGTTTGGGCCGATAGGCAGTAATTAAAAAATATGTTGTTTTTGAAATACTTATACTGTTGTACATTATTTCAATTCCGAATACTATGACATATATTAAGATTTCTTAGAGTATAAATTATTTTCAGGATATTGAAATTTTTTAAAATAATTTAATTTTAAAGTATGCAGTAAAAGCATATAGAAAACCGTTTTTGATTTTTAATTTTGTCTCGGAAAACATAGCGAAAGAAAAATACTTGAATTTTGACTTGCTTATAAAAAAAACACAACCAACCAATAGTGTTCTTCTTTTTTAAATTTCAGGTAATTCCCCGGAGAAAGGTTAAAATACATAGCACATTTGTTTTGTTATTGTTTTGATGACAGTGGCGATTTAGATTTCGTGGAGAATATTGATGACAGACCTACAAATGGAGAAGCAAAAAGGAAAAGCATTAACTTTGAAAGATACGATGTTATACAAGTTAAAAGTGGTATGAAACAAAGTGATATTCTCTCGTCCTATGGTCAAGTGAATGCAAGTGCTAAAAGGCTTAGAAAATCAGCTCATGAAGTAGGCAATAAGGGACTTTGACAGTGGTTTACCCAAGAAATAAAAGGAAATGTTTCTATAAGTGATCCATGCAAAAAACAAGTGAAATGGGAAGTAGAATAGAAGGAAGAGATTTTGTGTGTTCCAAAAGTTGGATTGAACGTTTTAAGAAGCGAAACTGTATCTCTGGAGGACAAATTGTTGGTGTTTTTAATAACTCACAACGGTTTGGTTTGATCTTTGCAAAAATTATGACAGTGACAATATTTTTAACGCCGATGAGACCGGCCTTTTCTATAAATTAAACTCTGATAAGACATTGAAATTCGACGGAGAAAGGTGTGGTGGTGGAAAATTGCCCAAGGTTCGAATAACAGTTCTGGTTACTGCAAACATGTCTGGGACAGAAAAGAGAAAGCTGTTTATTATCGGCAAATCAGTAAACCCAAGATGTTTTAAACACAAGACGCTACCAGTCAAGTACAGGTCAAACAGCAAAGCGTGGATGACATCCGACTTATTTACCGAAGAGCTGCTATAATGGGATACAGAATTGAACAACAGAAAAATTATTCTTCTAGTAGATAATTGTCCAGCACATCACAATGTTCCGTTGAACCAAATCAAACTGGTTTTTATGCTACCCAACACCAGTTCAAAACTGCAGCCCATGGATCAAGGCATAATCTATTCCCTGAAGTACCACTATAGGAATATTTTGCACCGTTCTTGGTAGGAAGTTAGCAAAAACACTATTGCAAACTGTTATAAACAAGATGATTTTAACTCTGATGATGAATTGCCTCTAACGGAATGGTTAAAAAAACATTCAGGAGATCCCGAAAATACTGAGGAAAATATCGACACCCAGAAAGCTCTTAAAGCAGAGATTAGGAATAGACGATCAAGTTAATCCTAACGAATCTTTAGCAGATGACGAATTTATCCAGTTAACATCAACAGGTATTTATAACATAAAATGTAACATTAAAATAATGATCTTCGGAAACAAATGCAGACTTGAGTGAAGATGAGCTAAGGCAGGAGGCTATTGAGGAAGTGGCTATGATCAATGTTCCTTCAGTGAAAGACATGACGGAAAACATAATTAACATGTTTATCCAAGAGTAGGAGAATACATGTAGTTTTTTTTAGTTTATTTTTTTTAAATACTATTTGCTTGTTCTTGTTCACTTATTACTTGTTTTGTACAGAATGATATTTAATTTCCACTTTTCCAACATTACGTAATAGATATACATATCTAGAAAAATGCTAGTATATGGCATTTTTTTACAAAACCAACGTACATAATATTATATATTATTATTATTCATCGGGTAAACATCAAGTGTGTACAAAAGTTCATTTATTGCTTATAGTAAACCTCGGATACAGCGAGCCAATTTTGATGCAACTTTCGAATTCACTATATCCGGACCACTGTACGTTATCTACTATGGTCCACCCGGTATAATAAGGCAGGCGTTTTGCTTTTCAATCCATATTGAGGCATCGAAAAGAAACTTCCTCCCTTCCTTTGAAGTTTGTGAGGAAAATCTTTCACGAGTCTGCGAGGCAGCTTTTAACGAATGAAGGGGTGTAAATATATTAACCGTCCGCAAAACTGCTAAACGAGACGATGTTTTCAGCGATTTCCGTAGGAGCGGACCCATTATATATTAAATTTGCGAATTACACGGTATTTAAAGCTATAGTAGAACCATAAATCAAGGAAATAGGGTCTCGAGAGTTAATACAAGCACACCAGCAACGGTCCAACCAGGCTACGCGTCGGCTCGATATTCCACGAACTAGAGACGCGAGAGAATGGAAAGTACAGGAACGCGAGAAGATGAAAATATCATTTAATATGTTACACTATATTGCATCGTAGAAGGCAATAATTATAACGTGGTATATCCTCCGTTTAAATTATGACATTTATTTCTAGTAACATTTGCATACTTCTCAATTCCCAACTAATAACCATCAGTCACATTGCTGAATTCTGAATTAAGAAAGATAAGAGTCTCCACAGACCTGCCGCAGATTTAACTTTAAATAAATTCAAAATTGAATTGATTTCGACAAAAGAAAAAGAGATTTTATATACCGTAACGTTCTTTTTAGTAAAACTCTGTAATGATAAGTGAAAGAATTTGTGATAGTAATGTTTAAATAAGTGCCTAATAGCCTGATTAACAGCAGAATTATAAACATGTTATAGTCAAAAAATAAAAATAAACAATAATAAATAATTAATATTTTTTAAAGTCGCCTTAAGATCATTAGTAAAATATTAATAAATTTGAACATTCGTATTTATTTAATTTCAAAGATTTTGGTAATCACAAGCTTTGACTTTAATTTATTGATATAAAACTGATATATAACATAATTATTACTATATTAAAATAACTTCCGTCTATGCAATTATATTAAATGTGGTATTAGAAAGAAAAGATAGAAAAAGATAAAAAAACATGTGAATTTGATACACGAATGATATCGCCTTGGCAACGGATAAAAAAGGAGAACTGACGGAAATGCTAAAACTGGACAAAGTGGTTAAAAATATAGGTATTAATATGAACTATACAAAAACTAAAATCATAATTGACACAGGTGAAACACAAATTGTTAAACTTAACAATGATAAGTAAATAGCAGAAATTAATGACAGACTTAAAATTTTACATGAAATCTTTTTAAAAAATCGACGTCCAAGAAAAAATAAATAAAATAAAAAATGAAGGAAATTATATATGTACTACCCGGTGCATAAACTTTGTGAAACGAATGAGCATTTGCCGTCAACTCGTAATGAAATTCCCAAATCAGTTCCAATGGACAAAAAGGAAAATAAAAAGCGGGGAGAAACGTCACTACGACCGAACGCAAGATATTTTCGAAGCATTTACTTCTTGGCGTCGCAATTAATTACTTTCCAACGATACGACTGTTAATTTTTTTTGCTGTAATTTATCATACTCTTCCGTTAAATTAAGAGGGGTGAATAAAGAATAAAGGATATTAAATTAAAATCGCACGAACAGGGATTTTTTTTTTCTTTTTACTTGCCGTCTCGGGCGCGCGCAATTAGTCTTAATTAATTAAGAGATAATTTAGGTCGAGGTTTCTCCAATTCCGGCGGTTTTTGTTTGGATAATGCGGCTATAATTGAAGGGAGGCAACGAAACGCGCGCTATTTGTATATAGATACGTTTATAATAAATAATTTCACCCCTTTAGCGTCGCCGCGCCCGGACGCCGATTCCCGAATATGCGACGCCATTGCTGTCTGCTCGACCCCAATTCATCATTGGCTGCGTGACACGTATAGAGATTTTTATTTCTGCGGTGTACGGATATGCACACAATACTCCAACCCCCAATGTCAGTGTTGGATTCAAAAAATAACCCGCCCAATGAGATTCACATTATCATACTAAACTGAACCGGTTCAAAAAACTGCATTGATACGGAAATATATTATAACTATGCTGTTGCACACAGAAACAAGTGAAACAAAAAAAATAAATAAAAAAAGTGATACTTAAAGTACAGATAAAAATCATAACTTAAAATAATACCCACTATTATTTCATTATGTATTTGTTTATTATTATTTATACTATGGACTTCGTATTTTCATATTTTCCTACTTACGCAAATAATATATAGCTTTAATTTTTTGCGTCCATAGTTTACGCATTTTTTCAGCAAAAATGAAGTGTCAGTTAAAATCACAATTTTAATCTTAAAATAATAGTCACAATTATTTCATTATATGTTTTTGTAAAAATGCTCTAGATTTTCATATCTTTCTGTCGTTTATTCTGCATACCTCAAATTTGAGTTTTGTTTTGATTTTTATTACTTTTCTACTC